GATGCGACTCTTTAAATCTGGTCGGTTACTAGGCTATAGTGAGTGAGTTTAATCTAGGTTAAGTGGGGTCAAAAAGCGACAGAATTCCTGAATGTTATATCTATCAACTGTTACCACATGCAATTAGGCAGATATCATTTCGCTATCTGATACTATTTTAATTGGCTTAATACCTTTAACAGCTCAATATAACACTGATAATAATGGATAATAATTTTTTTATTTTCTTTTTGGTCATAAAAGGTGCTTAGGCTGAAGGCAACAACTACATACTATAACATTAGTATCACACATTTAATGCTCATCGCATTCTTTAAATTGCCGTTTATATCCAACTTTAACATAAGATTTTCTCTGTTAAAATGTTGAGGTTTAACGACATTTAATTCGTACTAAAAGCATTGACGCTTACTTAGCTAGACGTGAGAGTTTTAAATCCTTATTATAGGGTATCCAAGCCCTATTTGGCTGCTTGTATTATCTTTCCATGGATTTGTCAAGGACGGATCATCAGGCATCTGAAATTATTGAGAAAGGTGGCGACACAGTCTAGTGTCCCTTATATTGAGCATAGATGGCCAACACTACTTTAAAATAGACTTTCTCATCAATACTAGTCGTAAAGCAAGTACCTAAGTTTTGTCATCGTCCTTTTCCATCTCCTTCACAAGGAATTATCACTTAGTCTCATTTTTTTTTTGATTTCATCTAGCATGTATTTTTATGTAATTTTATTTTTATATTTGTTTATTTGTGCATGTTTTCTCACTCGTCACTTTTCATTTGTTTGTGTTTTGCTTACACATTTGTTACTGTTTACTTTTAATTTTTATATCTTCCGCCATATACCTAATATTTTCTTTTTTTAAAGTTACTTCTAATCACGGTTTTTGATTCTGCTACGTACTCTGTTGATGCACGTTTCTCTTTTGGTCTTTTGGTCATTATACCATGCTACGATTCTGTAAAAAAAAATTTTTTCTGCTTTAAATGTTATCTTCAATGTATTTTTGTTGTATTTGCATGTACTTGAATTTTTTTTTAGCCCTGGTTGGTTCTGAAAAACAGCTTGTGCTGATGTAACCCGCCAGGTAAAATAAAGGCCATTTATTATTATTATTATTATTATTATTGTACAGGATGTCCCAGGCTAACACACCAATCTGTCGTATGGATATAGAACACAAACAATAATGCCATAACCTCTTATTATAAAAATTTCCCTTACGGAGATACCAGCCGTTCAGAGACGCTACTGAAAATCACTTTTTCCTAAATACACTGCCACGCAAAATTAAGCGGACAAACAAAATTTTGTTCAAATTAAATTTGAAATAACTGTTTAACCTTTGCATCAATTTCGTTAATTTTTTCGTCGAGCTGTAGGTATTTTCATTGCCGTCATTATCGACTGCCGATCTTGCAAACAAATTTAAAATGTTTGTTGTTATCCAGGGAGTAGCTAAAAGGTGCATTGTCCTAAATTTCTGAACACCCTGTGGAGAGATTGGATTACTGAGTAATGTGTCTTCATGTGAGAATTTTAAGCCTCAACTTTTCTCAACAGTTCTTTTTTGGTTCATGTCAATATCTCAATTATTGAAGAATATATGCTGTTTTGAAGAAAATCATGCGAATCATAGCCATAAAAAAATTAATTTAAAAAATTACAGAGACAACATTGGTAAGAAAACTATGCGAATCATAACAATAAACAATTTAACTAAAAAAATTGCAGTGATCATTAGTAATTAGAAATGGTTATCAAAAACGAATTTTCCTCCCCAGCTCCCATCCTCTCTGACATAGACGCAATTAAACCAGCTATTGGGTCTTGGGGTATTTGCTCCCACTCGTTTACCAGCGCCTCTTCCAACGCAGCCACAGTTTGAAATTCTCCATAGTTCTGCCTAAGCCTTCTTCCTAATGTATCACACATGTGCTCAATGGGGTTGAGATCCGGACTCCTTGGCGGCCAGCCTAGTGCTTGAATTGCAACATCGTTGAGGTGTGGCTTAGTCATTCTGGCTATATGCGGCCTAGCATTATCTTACAAGTTTCTCCTATAAAGAGCATTGAGGAACCACATGTTCTTCCAAACACTCTCTAATGTAAATGTCGGCCGTAAGGTGTCCTCCTCGTTGCGAAACAAGATCTGTGCGGAATTCCAAAGAAATACCGCCCCATACCCATCACTCCTCCACCACCACATTGCACTCTAGGAGCAAAACAACTTTGAGCATAGCACGTCTTCTCCACACTCTTTGGAGACCATTAGGTTAATATCTCGTAAAACCAGACTCGTCTGTAATAAAAACGTTTTTCCAGTCGTCTATATCCCAATCTGCATGAGTTGGAAAAAATACCAAGCGCTGTCTTCGATGACCTACATCCAATAGAGGAACTGTAGCAGGTACACAAGATGATACGTTTCCTTCTCTCAACCTTCGGCGTACGGTATTAGGTGAAACTATGGTACCATGAACATCATCCAATCTTCGAGTCCAAGCTGTCCAACTGTCCATTCTCGAAGAGCTTGAAGTCTCAGAAACCGATCTTCAACTGCGTTTGTTGCTTTCCGTCTTCCCTGCCCAGGTCTTCCTGAGTAAGAACCAGTTTCTCTAAATCTTTGTATCGCATCGAAGACCGTACTGCGTGGAACGGCAAGCCTTTCTGCGATGTACCGAATAGGACTACCATCATCTTGTAAAGCTACATACAGCTTGCGCTACTTGTTCCGGTGTCATTTTTGTTGAGTATTGCTTTACAAGAATCTTTGTAACATGTCATAAAAATGTTAACAGACACAACAATTTATTGTTTAAGGCTAGGATTCGCATGATTTTCTTCAAAATGTAGAGGTGCTTCTTTGGCAGTGTACAACCAAAATTTCCAATAGCAAAAGAGGGCGTCGTCTAGAAATAGACAGGTAGCATTTCGCTACTTCATCACTAGGACAGCTGAAGGATTCTTTAACAAATAGGCAGCCAGACGTATCCCAGATGGTTTTGAAGACCTTGTGTCAATATAGTTGTTATAAATGCAAGGCTCTACCAGGGATCCACTATGGTATCACTACTAGAATAGAAATATTCAACTGCGACCATACACTTTAATACGCCCTGGTATCATTTAATGGTCGCGCGTTCCTAGGAAGCACGTGTTGTTGGATGCACAGGCGCAAATATGCGAAATATGACGTGTCTAACAGGTGGACAATTCTACCGCTATCACAAATTCCTGAACGATGAAACGTCTTCCAGTCATACCACAATGTAACAATTATAACGTCCAATCCCAATTTTCAACCCTTACAGATTTTTCACTTCCTACGCCACTGAGCTAGAAAGTATTGTAATCGCGAAGATGCGATATGTTTTTCGGACGTTATATGTCACGTACATCACAAAAAACCACATCACTTATTTCCTTCGGTCTGTATATCTGTCTGTCCGTTAATCCTTGATCCGTCTATAACTTGGGAAGTACTGGTCGGATTTCGATGAAATTTCACACAGGGTTACGACTATGTCAAGGACAAAAAAGCTTTGTAGTTTTTAGTGGCAAGTGGTAACTAACTCGAGCTGGGGTACTGCGGCGATGTCGACACGGACACACCGCTACAAGGGAATATTTATATATTTTTCGTTTTGCGATGCTTTCGTAAACGATAATTAAATTTAATATCTTTTTCTGAATTTGATGATCATTTGATGTACCCACCCATTTCGCCTAACCTTTGATTTGTGTAACTCGGTATATGATGGTTCTCTGAAAATTTCGACATGTAGGTTGAATCAGTACTTATTACGCATTGATATAAGGCAAACCAACATAAATGAGAAACGGGGAGTTGTGTCATGCAGATATCTGTGAGCGACACAACACTTGCGAATTGAAGTTCGAATATTATCGCGAGTTCCATACCTCCATAGTTTAGCTACATTTTGAAAATTGATCCAGTGACGGCGGAACTACGACAAAAAATAAAAGATTCTAGAACATTTTAGAGATTCTTGCTCATTTTCAGACATTGTTTGTAGGAGTTTAATATTGTAGGTTGCTAGCTGTATGCAGTAAATGTAAATTGCTGCCTATTTGGTGTCAGAGAAGCTGCTGAACTCAGTGATACTATGCACCTGTTAGACATAATAAGCCAGCTATATTTTCCCTACATCTGTCATGGAAACAGAAATGGGTGATTATCATGAAAGGTGAAAATTTTGAGTACTCGTTAAAAAATATCATTTTATAAAAAAAAATCCAAGTGTTAATAATGGAGGTACATTTTTAAAGGTAAGGAATATTCATAACTAATAAGTGCATAGTCTTTAATATTTCTGCTTTTTTATTTATAACCAAAAAACGTATGAAAACCTCACCTCCGTGACTGTTCTCTTTTACCATTGCCATCACAAGGCTACATAAAAACTATTACTAAGGAAGAAATCTGTAGAAGTTTTATCTTGAATCTCCAGAATTTGTTTTTTTAGAAGAGATATGAACAAAACTTTTCTTTTGGAATATCATGTAATTTACTGTTTGCGCCTCAACCCCTGTTCTGGAAAGTAGGTATCACCTCCGTGACGTAGTTTTTGATGCAGATTTCGGCTCACAGATGGCGAACTATTCAATTTCTGGCGTTGTATCGCGTTACAACAAACCACGACCTATTTCGTTCAGTCGATATTAGGGATTGAAAGTGATCAGAAGGATTCTCTCTTTAGTTTAAGACTTGTTAACCACGTGGAACCTTTGTTGTTCTCACATCCGTGAATTTGCTTTTTTTGGTAAGTAAATAAGAAAAATGCGTAGTTTTAATATTGATAGGTGACATAATATTCCCACTAGAGCTGGTTTGAAATTTACTTGTGCAAGACATTTTCACAACAACCTATTAAAGAAAAATATGGTAATTCCTCACTTCCGTGAGCCTCACCTCCGTGAAGTTACCAGTTCACGGAGGTGAAGCAAGTTTCACGGAGGTGAGACATTGTAATGGTTTAGTGAATTGAAGTATAATATATGCACCGACATTTTCAGAACATGGCTCGTTTAAAAGTACAGAACAAAAATACAAAAGCTCATCACGAAGAAAAGAAAACAAGGCAGCGCGAAGCTATGAGAAGGCTACGTGAATCAAGGCGACAGGATCCAGAGAAGTATGAAGAAGACAAGCGAAAAGAACGGGAACGGTATTACCGGAGAAAAGAAGCAGGCCAAATTAAAACCATTGACCAAATGTCAGAAAGAGAAAAACGGAATCAAAGGAAAGAGTGGCGGAATAGAAGTAAAAAACACTATCTTGGAAAGAAAAATGCAAAGGAGCTCGAGCTTAAATTACAAGAAAACTCACCACCTGCCACTCCAATCCCGGAAGAACTAATGGCTGAAGCACCATATGATGAAATACTTCAAGAAAGATATGATGGAAGAAAGAGGCAAGGCAGGTCACGAAGAAGAAAACACGTAAAGGCTCTAAGAAAATAAATAGATTTGTTAAAAGTTAAACTGGAAAAAGAGAAAAGAAAGAAGGAAAAATATAGAATGAGACTAAAAAGAGTAAAAAGCGACTGCACAAAAACATAGATTCGCCTGAAAAAAAAGTGGAAGCACTAATCAAGGGACAAACTGTTTTTCCTGCTGTTAAGAAAAATCTGTTATTTTCAGAAGTTATAGCGAAACAGTTAACAGAAAATTATCGGGTTCTTACAAATCCTGCTCAGAAAAGAACATTTTAGGAAAAATATTTCTGGAAATGTTGTAAAAAAGTACAAATAAATAAGCTATTTGAAAAGAACTGCGTCTGTATTTACATCCTCAAAAGATAAATCTAAAAAGAGATTAATAAATCAGGAATTCATCAGGCAACAAATAAAAAATTTCCTGGAAAAAGATGACTCTAGTAGGCTCTGCCCTGGCAAAAACGATTATGTTATAAGAAAACATGATAAGAAGCAGAAACGATTACTAAATGATACACTCAGAAATCTACATAGACGATTTATAAAAGAAAATAAGTTTCTAATTAGCTACACAACCTTCTGTCGATTACGCCCGTTCTGGATTATACAGCCAAAAATAGAAGAACGACATACCTGCCTTTGTATGATCCACACGAATATGTGGTTGCTCGTTAGAAGGCTGAAAATCGCAAATATTATAAAAGAGAATTCTCCTGAAGAAGTATGTAGAGCCATTTGTTGCTAAGAGGAAGTACTGAAAGAGATATGTTTAGAAAGAAAATGCGAAAGTTGTAAGAAGAAAACTGTAGTTACAGCTGAATTTCATAGATCGGACACCATAGTTCATGAGAGATGGGTTACAAAGCGGGTTACAATAGTAGTGAAAGGAAAAGAAAAGTTGTGTACAAAAACTTTTAAGGAGAAGCTTATGTCTACTAAGGGTGAGGTTCTTCAAGCGTTCCTTAATTCATTGCAGCCTTTTCTTTTCCATATAAAAAATTTAGAACACCAGATGAGAGAAATTCGGAAGATCAAAGAAAATATGGATAATACAGAAGTTCTAATACATATGGATTTCTTCGAAAATTATGGATGTAAATATGCTGAAGAAGTCCAGTCAGCCCTCTTTGGGGGCTCAAAATTGCAGTTGAGCTTGCACACGGTAGTTGTGCATTAAAGAAGCTCTAACAATACTATGCAAAAAAATGTTTCTGTACAGTATCCAAAAGTTTGCGGCATGATCTTGTGGCAATTTGCGCCCATCTACTTCCCGTTTTTAAAAAACTCAAAACCTTTGTAGGCAATTTGAAATGCGTTCATTTTTTAAGCGACGGACCCTCAACCCAATATCGGAACAGAAAGATGTTCAATTTGATGGCAAGCCTCATTACGAACGAGTTAAATGTAGAAAAGTTACGGTGGCATTATAGTGAGAAACGTCATGGCAAGGGAGCTCCAGATGGAGTAGGTGGAGTCTTAAAGCGCACAGCTGATGCTATGGTGGCTCGAGGAATAGACATATCTAACCTAAAATCTTTTTTGTTCCGTTTGAAAGCAAACTGTAAGGTGTCATTCTTTCTGAAGTTCAGATAGATGATGCAGAGCTTGACAAAATTGAAAAGACGATACCTAAAATACTGCCACCGTATACCGGAATTTTACACTGCCATGAGGTTGTTTGGGTGAAACCACATACGTTCCTAGATATTCGAAAGCTCACCTGTCGCAGCTGCTCTCCATCCAAAGTTTGTTCTCATTATTCCTTGGGAACTTACCAATTGCAGCAACGTATCCTTTTTTATCAAATTATTTTGGCATTTTCAAATATTTTCTGATTCTTCATTTTTCCTTAACTGATTATTAGCACATACAAAAAGAAGACTGATATACTCTGAGATTTATTTATCATCGTCGGAGGATGAAGACGACAATCTGCCTTTAGCTATGCTTTTAAACTGAAATAATTATGCTCTTTTACATTTATATAATCGTTTTTTTTTCGAATAAACGATTAAAATATAAACCAATTCACCATGAGTTTGCAATTATATGAAGTAGTTTTCACATCCGTGAGAGGTGATCACCTCCGTGATTTATATTTTTTCGAAATCCTCATAATTTCAAAAACCAATAGGTAAACTGTTTGACCTTATACCTAATCAAATATATCTTATGATGTTTCTCCGCGAAATTGCAACAGATATTGGAAAAACTCGAATTTTTTTTCTGAACAAAATTAGATCGATTTAATCACCTTTCATGATAATCACCCAAATATGATAGATCTTTATATAGTTTGATATGTAAAGGTCGAAAATTAATCGTACTTAAGTGAAATTAGCTAGTTACGATTCGATTCCGCCCTTTAAAACGACTCCCTCTTCTTTGAAACCTCTAACGAAGGCGTGGGTAGTATATAGTCAACCTACTTGACGCCCTTTTTTCCTGGAAATTATCAGGATTTTTTTTGCTTTTAGCTCCTTGCTTCGCCGCCACTGGACCAATTTCCAAAAACGGTCTTGGCGTAGTAGCAACCTTATGTGATTATCAAATGAGTTACATAGTTTTTCGTGATGTACAGGTCATACAATACCCATAAAAATATTATCTCATTTTCGAAGCTATCCGCAATTAGAATCTTTCTCACCAGTGGGGTGTGACGTTAGAACTCTGCGCTTTTTCACTTTTATGTGAATTTTTGAAGCTTCCAATGTCGTTTTTACCAACCAAGGGTAGTTTTTTCTAACGGCACCCCTGAGTTCTGCTTTTGAAATTGTAGACAATTTTATGCTAAAGATATTTGAGGGGGGTCCTGCGTTAGAACTATTCACGACCTTGAGAACCCAGAGCTCAGAACTCAAGTTTTACGTAAAAGGGGTGCGGCGTGAATTTACCTCCAAAACGTTTTCAAAATTCCGCAAAAAATGCAGAGCTATCGCCGCACCCCCCTGAGAACTGTAGAACTATCCAAAAGTGGTCCAGAACTCTGAAAATAATCAAGGGTGCTGCAAAAAGAGGTGCCAACTTTCGGCCACCCTGATCCAGTCTCCTTGAATTTGTCAAATAATCTTTTCGTTGACGAGGTTGAAACCCTATGCTGGCCTTACTTTGCATAAAATTTTGGGACTTTCATTATTTTTAAAATATTGTTCAATAATGAAAACACGTTGTTGTATCATATAACCCTCCATTTTTATCAACCCTAACCTCTCAGCTGTCAAATTGTTCCCTTTTCAGGGCTGCCTACAATTTACTGTAAACTTGACGGCCAATTCAAATCTTGTGTTAACTATGGGACATCCTTTAGAAGTAAAATGATAAAGAATTCAATTCCCTGCAAAAGTGTTTTTATTACTTTTTTACATATAATCGCTGGTTTTCAACGCGTTTATCAAAATAGCGACAAATGCTCCAGCCCTATCATGACAACAATTTGAACTCATCATTAAGAAGGATATCACCAGAAAAAATTAAATGTCGCCCAAATTGTAGGATTTTCTTATACAAACTTTCGCTATTTCTTGGCCTATAACTAGAAGATCGGCATCTGTAAGAGTTTGATGCATCTTATACAGGGTGCAGCAGAGAGGACGGACGTTTTTGGGATGGGTAGTACTCTCCGCCTCCGTCTACGAGAGAGGTGGGGAGGGTGCCGTTTGACTCGTGAGATCTTAGCATTATTTTACCAGTTATCGTTATGGAGCCTTGGACGGTGGAGCACCGCGTTTTCGCCTATGAGTGACGAAACTACTTTCACCTAAACAGCATGGTTAACAAACTTGCATCATTGGCCCTTACTTCTTGGAAAACGGTAATGGTCGTGATGTTACCGTGAACTCAGAGCGCTACGTCGACATGATCACCAACTTCTTTCTCCCTGAATTACGACGGCGACGTGTTCCAATCCGACATGTGTGGTTCCAGCAGGATGGGGCGACCGCCCACACAGCCCGAGCATCCATGGACGTTATTCGCCCTCTCTTCCCTGGTCGCCTTATTTCCAGGTTTGGCGATGTCCATTGGCCTCCTCGATCCCCAGATTTATCCATATGCAATTTTTTCTTATGGGGACACCTCAAGGGTAGAGTATACGCGAACAAGCCCTGAACTCGGGACGAATTGAAGGGCGAAATTCGCGTGGAAGTCGCCCAAGTTGAGAGAGCGATGTTGGAGAGAGTCTACGCGAACTTCCAAGAATGCCTCCAGCACTGTATCACCGATTTCGGCCACCACATACCTGATGTGATTTTCCACACTTGGCTGTCTCAAATGCTATTTCCTTGTGAACCTGATTCCATCAATAAATTTGTTTTCGAGTAAAAATTAACTATTTTATGATTTTTTTAAAACCGTCCATCCTCTCTGCCACACCCTGTATATATTTTTCAATACAGAATACAAACCACGAATTTGGGAGCAAATTCAAATCTTGCGTTAATTATGGGACACCCTTTACTTGTTATATCTGGAGGAAAGGTTTCCCGTAATACCCAGTATCACTCAAAAATAACTTGATGGATACAGAAAAACAGATGAAATGAATCAGATATTTTATTTTCAAAACGTAATCCAGCACAGCAAAGATTATTTCTGTAAGTCTAGCAAAGTTGAAGTTGATGAGCTTATTTAATTTCAAAGACTAAGAATACAGCTTAAAAAACGGGAACGTAAATGCTTGTTATATGAGGATTAAACGAATTATGACTCATGCAGATTTAGTTGTAGATCTTCTTATATCTGAGCGTATATATAGAGAGATTGTGAAGGGGGAAGTTAAGAATTTATAGCGGGGTTATCCACTTCTATTATTCTCCGGGAGGGTTAGCAAATCAGTTGTTTTACGTTGTACGGGTGAATCTGTTTCAGCTCAAATATGTTTTGCAATAGACAGTTTAGCAAGGTGCTCTTGATATTTTCATGAGTTTAAACTACAGTCTATTTCAAAATGAGAGAGAGTAATAAATCATCAGATTAGACCAAGTTCTGCAGTAATTCATAGGCGTAGAATTTCTTTATTGAAAATAT